TCTTTAGATTTTTATGACAGTGACATTTTGCAATAGTATAGGCCAACCATGTTGTAGACCATCTCTCAGCTTGAGTCTGATGTTCCTCCATGGCTGGATTTAGTATTGGGAGGACTAAATTGATCATGTAAAGAAGCACAGAACAACCAGGTAGACTGTGGCATGTGCCAGCCACTCAGGAGACTAGGCAGGAGGCAGCAGATCACTGGTACCCAGGACCTGTTGGATGTCAGCGTGCGTGACAAAGCAGGCCCTCATCTCAAAAACTCAGAACTGTGCTGGTATCTTACAGTAAGGAGTGTTCCTCCATGAAGGATGACTACTGTTGTTCACATGGGCAAGAGGGAGTGGGACTGGAGGATGAGAATAAAACCTGTAGACGTGTGTGTGTGTGTGTGTGTGTGTGTGTGTGTGTGTGTGTGTGTGTGTGTGTCTTGCATGTAGCCTTGAACCTGAGCCTTGTGTAGTGGACATAGAGCTTGTGAGATCATTCTGGCAGAGGCGCTCAGGGCAGAGAATCATGGAACATTCCACCGATCTGACTCTGATCTCCTACTGGCTCCAAGCAGAATCTGCCTTTTAGACTTGGTTGGTTGCCTGTGGCCTTCTAGCTCTCTCTCTTTCCCCCAACCAGGTACTGCAGAGGCTCATCAAATCTCGAGGGAAGTCTCAATCCAAACACCTCAATGTCCAAATAGCAGCCTCGGAGAAACTGGCACAGTGTCCCCCCGTGAGTGCTCAGACCTGGGGTGGGGGAGGGGAGGGAAGGGAGGGTATGCATTTGGGTTCTCTTTCCTTCAGCCGGCATAGAAGACAGCATCTGGGACAGGTCTTTGGGTACAGACTGGTCCTTGGATAAAGAGGGTTGGCTCGAACACTCCTTAGTGCGGAGCCAAGCCCTGGTTTCCTTATTCCTAGAATTTGAGGGAGTTGGGCTGAGATCTGCAGTTCTGTCCTTTGTAGGTCTGAGTGTCCTTTCCTCGCTCCACATCCAGAGGCCTTTTAACCTTGTCCTTCAACCCCTTGACTCCACCCACTGCACCCAGGCCACACCTTCAACCCTTGGTCACGCCCCCGCTCATCCCAGCCCCGCCCCTAACCCCACCTCCACAGGAAATGTTTGACATAATACTGGACGAGAACCAATTGGAAGATGCCTGCGAGCACCTGGCCGAGTACTTGGAAGCCTACTGGAAGGCCACACACCCGCCCAGCAGCACGCCACCCAATCCGCTGCTGAACCGCACCATGGCTACCGCAGCTCTGGCTGCCAGCCCTGCCCCCGTCTCCAACCTCCAGGTACAGGTGCTCACCTCGCTCAGGAGAAATCTCAGCTTCTGGGGCGGGCTGGAGGCCTCACCGCAGGGAGGCGACGCGGTGGCCCAGCCACAGGAGCACGCCATGTAGCCGGTGTCTCTCGGGTCTTCCCTCCCACCCTGGAGTGCAGGGAACATGGGGAAGGAAGGGAAGAGCTTTATTTTGTAAAAAACGTGGTGAGCGGCAGCGTCTGGTGTCTGTGGTTTTTGGTGGGACTGGGGGCTGGCTGGTGCTGCCTCCCTGGGACTGGTCCCTTAGAACTGCATCTGCTGCCCGTTGGATCTGAGGCCTGATGGGAACCCTTGTAAGTCCAAGGACTAGGAAGAAAATCTGAGGAAGACGGATAGGCTTGTGCATTGGACTCTACACCCTTTTCTTTTTCTTGTTGTTGATTTTTGGAAACAGTTTCATTCTGGCAGTAGCTGGCCTGGAATTTCCAGTGTTCCAGACTGGCTTCGAACTGGAGGCAATCCTCCTGCCTCCTGGATGCTGGAATTACAAGTTAACGCTACAGCTCTCAGCTCCACACCCGCTTTAGAGCTGACAGAGTGGGGGTCATCGAATCCAGAGAATTTGCCCCTCCCCAGCAATCCTTGAGGGACCCAAGCTGCAGCATCTATGCGCTAAGCTGTGCCTTCCACCGTCTCCCAGGGAAACAGAGTGCAGGAAAGGCTCTCCTCCCACGGAGCCACAGCCCATCTCTGAGCCCACACCATTAAGTGTATGGTCTGGGTTAGAGCCAGAACACCATGAAGTCATTCTAGACTCGTGCATCTCAAGTGTGCTTTCAGCAACAGAGCCCACTTGTTTTGTGAAGCTGGGCCATCCTGGGTCTACCCAAGGGGAGCTGGGGGCCCGACCCTTCCTTCCCTGCCCGGGGGACCCCAGAGGCACTTCTTTGCTCTCCCCACTCTGCCATAGAGCAGCTCCAGGAAGCAATTTGGAACCTGGTGCTGTAGTCTATTTCCCATCACACCCTAACCAGGAACGGGGCCGCAGAGGAGGGTATCATTTGCTTAGCCACACAGCTCGAGATGGCAGGAGCTGTCAGCCACCGGTGACCAGGGCCACCTCATGGTCTCCAGCTGTGGGTGGAGAGTTGAGGGGTGGAGACATGGAATCATTAGCTGTCTTTAAATGGCTGCTCTGAGTCCTTTCGAGGGGGCAGGAGAGAAATCCCATCAACCTTGGAGACTCGTTTGTCTAAGGAATGGGAGAAGTGTGGGATTCTGGAAGCCTGTGACTGAGGTCTAGTGTGGGCAGAGGAAGCTGGGGTCAGTGAGTTGGAGCTGAAATCTCAGTGTATTTGGAAAATTGGAGGATTGACTAACCCAAGCAACCGCTAATGAATGGCAATACTAATGAGCTGTTACCGATGATTAACCCAGGAAAGCATTAATAACATGCACTGAGGAACCTGTGACTAATTATTCAGGGCTCCTTACCATGGTTACCAGGAGAGTTCATGCTCAGATGAAGTTGGGTGCCCTCAGGCTGCTAGAGGAGCAGATGGCCTGAGCAAATGTCCTGTGGCCTGCCCTCAGGCTGAGCTCTAGAGCCGATGGCCCTGGTCCTGGGTGCCCCTCCCCTAGAGTCAGAGCCCTCCAGGAGCCAGGCTGGTGTCTTGGCACCATCACTAACTTGCCTTGCTTTGTTGTGTTTTTCTCACCCCTGCCTGATCTGCATGGTGCGTGCCGTCTGTCTGCTAACCAGGGACCCTACCTTGCTTCCGGGGACCAGCCGCTGGACCGGGCCGCTGGGGAGCATGCCAGCGTGCACGAGTACCCCGGGGAGCTGGGCCAGCCCCGGGGCCCTTACCCCAGCAACCACCCACCTGGCCGGGCAGGCACCCTGCGGGCACTGTCCCGCCAAGACACCTTTGATGCTGACACCCCCGGCAGCCGAAACTCTGCCTACACGGAGCCGGGAGACTCGTGTGTGGACATGGAGACAGACCCCTCAGAGGGCCCAGGGCCTGGAGACCCTGCAGGGGGAGGCACACCACCAGCCCGGCAGGGTTCCTGGGAAGACGAAGAAGACTATGAGGAGGAGATGACCGACAACCGGAACCGGGGCCGGAATAAGGCCCGCTACTGTGCGGAGGGTGGTGGGCCGGTTCTGGGGCGCAATAAGAATGAGCTGGAGGGCTGGGGACAAGGCGTCTACATCCGCTGAGAGGCAGGGGCAGCGTTGGGAGAGGAAAGGCTCTGAGCCCGGGGAGGGGAGAGAAGAGGGGCGCACCACCCGAGATGTGTCTTGCCTCTAGGGGGCGCTGTGTCCCTCATTTTCAGATGCCTTTGCTCAAAGACCGGGGTTTCTTTGGTGGTTATCATCCCAACTCCTGGGAGGCCCTAAACCCCCAGCTCTAGGTTCTTCCCTAACTGCTGTGGGTGGATGGGGGAATGCCTACTTTCTGAAGTGCCCCCTTTCCCCATCTTAGGGGGCTCTCTCCCTCCCAGAGAAAAGGTGCACTTCCTCAACTCTTTCTACTCGGGGCTGAACGTGAAGGTCCTAATAGGGGTGGGGGCGGGGCTTCTTTTACCAACATAGGGGTGTTTGGGAAAGGTCGGGTGCTTTTCCTGAAGAGAGAGGCCGCTGAATCTTCCCCAAACCCCAGACCCAGGGTCCCCCACCATGTCCATCCCATAACCTTGTTTCCTAGCAGCATTCTCTGGTGGGTGAAAGCCACAGCTTGGAAACCCATGTGGAGCTGGCCCTGGGGAGTAGGGCCGGGTGGAAGCTGACAGGCATCAGTTGTGCCCTCTCTATGGCCATGGCAAGAGCCCAGGGCCGAGAACCTTGAGGAGTGAGCAAATCAAGATGCTGCCCTGCCCCGCCCCCGTATCCCCGCCCTCGCCTCCCCCAGGAATGAGCTTTGTCCACAACCTCCCCTGCCTGCTGCCATTGAAGAGAGGGGCTCTCTGCATCTGAGCCCCACATCTCCGTGCCACCTGGGTGTGGAGACCATGACTATTTTGGTCCACCTCATTCTAAACCAAAAAAACTGCTCCTTCACTGTCACCCTGAGGCCCCAGGGGAGAGGCTCTGTGGGTTGGTGCCCAAGAGGTGACCATCCTCCAGGGGCTGCCTGAGAACCTTGGGTCTCCCCTAGGGGTCTTGGTTGCTGCTGCTTCTCTGTATCCGCCTCTTGTGGTCCTGTCCTTTCCCAGTGTCCACTTTCCCCAAGAGAGGCCTTGGTAGCCCCTCTCCCTTGGGGCATCCTTAGCCTCAGCATCCCTATAGTCCAGCAGCCCTGTCCCTCCCCAGCATCACAGCTGGTCCAGAGAGAGCCGATTGTGCCAACGAGGACTGGGCCCTGCCCAGCTGCCCACCTCAGGGATGGGCACCTCACGCCTGTCTCGCCCGCCACCTGTGCCAATGTTGTCCCACCCCCCCACCTGGGGGTGGGGTGCAGCTTCCACTTACAGGTTAGAAGATACCACTGCCCAACCTTTCGCTCCCTGTCTTGTCCTGTGCCCATCTGTCTGTCTATTTGTCTGTACTCCTCTAGGAGAGATATTTTGCCACTTATAAAACCGCAGCCCCGTCCTTTGCGGCCACTTCCTGAGCCTGTTTCTTTGGTACCACCACACGTAGTCAGCTTAGCAGCCTCACTGGCTCTCAGTAGTGGGAGCTGAGGGCCTGTGGGGGAGCAAAGGGGGACACAAGAAAAAGCTGTGCCCCAGCTGTTGGGGCAAAGGAAAGCTGGCGCTTTGTTTTGCTGGTTCTGAATTGCCTACAAGCGTTCCTCATTCAGCTACAAGCTCACATCTTAATCTGTTTCTTCCTTGCAGAGGTGGGTGGGGGTGATGCTGATTGGGGTATTGCTCACTGGGTGGGCTCCAGACCCACTGGTTCACATTATTTATTTATTTATTTATTTATTTATTTATTTATTTATTTTTGTTTTTTCGAGACAGGATTTCTCTATGTAGTTTTACTGCCTGTCCTGGATCTTGCTCTGTAGACCAGGCTGGCCTCGAACTCACAGAGATCCTCCTGGCTCTGCCTCTCGCGTGCTGGGATTAAAGGAATGTGCCTGTGCCACCACTGCCTGGCCAGGTTCACATCTTAAAGACACATGCACTCTTTTTGTTTTTGTTTTTCTTTCTGCTTTGATCTCCCTGTACCCTAGTAACTCACCTCATCAGGGAGGGGTGACCTTCAACTGCTCTGGGATTCTTTTTATTTTTCTTTCTTTCTTTCTTTCTTTCTTTCTTTCTTTCTCTCTCTCTCTCTCTCTCTCTCTCTCTCTCTCTCTCTCTCTCTCTTTCTTTCTTTCTTTCTTTTTGTTTTTTTTCGAGACAGGCTTTCTCTGTGTAGCTTTGCGCCTTTCCTGGAACTCACTTGATAGCCCAGGCTGGCCTCGAACTCACAGAGATCCGCCTGGCTCTGCCTCCCGAGTGCTGGGATTAAAGGCGTGTGCCACCACCGCCCGGCTTTCTTTTTATTTTTCAAGTGGAACTCACAGAGGGGTGTCTGCCTCGCCTCCCGAGTGCTGAGTTTAAAGGCATATATCACCATGCTCTCAGCAACCAGTTTTTGGGTTTTGGATCCCCTCCACCCTCCCAGTCAGGGTCTCACAGTGTAGACAAGGCTCACCTGGAGTTCACCTTGTGTCTCCAGCTGGCCTGGACACACTTCAGCTTCCCCAGATGCTGGGGTCCCAGGTGTGTGTGAGCCACCATGCCAGAACATTTTATTTTGGGACAGAGATTGCTATGTAGCCCTCACTGACCTGGAACTCATGTAGTTGAAGTGGGACTCAAACTCATAGCAATTCTCCTGCCTTGGCCTCCTGAGTGCTGGGATCACAGGGTCACAGATGTGCCACTATGTGGGTTCTGAGAACGAGCTTCAGAGCTGAGGAGGTTATCCGCTTATGTGAAGAGGTGGTAGAGACCGGCCCCCCGAGACATGAAGAGAACACACCAAGCAGGTGGCAGGATGTGGCCTATCACCCATATCCTGCCTCACGCAGCACCTGCAAGCTTCCTCACCCTGCTGGGTGTTGTTTCTGAGGTGATGGCTCTAAAGGACTTGAACGTCTGGGTCCTCCACCTGAGTGCTTCTGCCCAAAGACTGTGTTCTAGTGTGCAGAGTGACAGCAGACCTCTGATGCCCACAGCTGAGGAGTCAGCAGATCACCGACAGGGAACTGGGCCGGCCAATGCCAGAGTCCCTTGGGGAACGGATAGAGTTGTTGAGAACCTTGCTCTGCCTGCTCGCCTTCTCTCTACCTTTCAGTTGAAGGCAATCAATCGCTCACTTCTGTGTTTAGCTATGGAACTGGCGTTTATTAAAGATCTAGATGGTAGGCACAGGTCAAACTGGGAACCACAGATAGCACTCTGAGTAGCATTTGGTCCTGGGAACACCACTCCCTTAACAGGGGCGGTCAGAGAAGGTTTGAAATCTGGGAACATGGTTAGGTTAATCTAGACAGAGAGGTGGGAGGAAATTCCTCGTGCAGAGGAAGAGGGGACATGCACCACATGCTATTGGCACCTGACTAACAAAGTGTGGGGATAGCCGTCGGCCAGAGGGGGCGTGGTCACAGTAGGCCTACCTTATGCTAAGGAGTCTGAGTTTTGATCTGAAACCGGTGCAGGAACTGAAGGATGGTAAGTCGCCCTGGCAAGATAGGGGTGCAGTGTGGCCTATAGCCTTCCCTGCAGACAGTGCTGATACTCCAGGTTGAAAGGAGGGGGGCTTAGCCCAGGCCACAGGGGAAGGCAGGCACTGACCACTAGAGGAGCCCTACAGGATCGGAAGCTCTCAGAAGGAAGTAAGTCAGAGGTGGCAGGCGAGAAAATGGGGAGTCACCAGCGGTGACTTCACCAGCCCCACAGATATTGAATTTTGTAGTGCCTGTGACCCCCAAGTTCAACTAATTCTTCTGCTCCAGGAAGCGCGGACGTTAGGAAGAGTGGGGGGTAGGGAGTTGAGGAGGAGGAAGCAGGTGTGTGAACACGCTCGTCTGTCTCTTTCTGTACACCTTCTGCCTACAGTTGCATTTGCTCAGAACTTAGAGGTGGGCAGTTCTAGCTGGCGTAGATACTAGAGATGGGGAGAAAGCCCGGTCTCCAGGTAACCACAGCCCTCTACCCACTCTGCTCAGTCAGCAAGCTGGTGGCTGTCAGCACGTGAGGATTTTAACAGCCATGACATCAGCCGCCCTTGCTACCACCGTCACTTCCAGGACTCAAAAGCGGAAGCAGGGGGATACCTTTCCTTCACTGCTCTGACCAGCTGCTTCCATCTCTGTTGGATGCTGCCCCAGCGAGCTGAGGTGGGATAAGCCACAGAGCCCAGATTTGCCCGAAGGTTCACTATCCTGAAACAAACTGGGTTGTGCTGAGGCTCAACTTTGGCCTAGGAAGGGACATGGTTCCGGTCTAATATCCTAAGTCTTGTTTTGGCTCCCGTAATGACTTTCTTGGTGAAGTCTGTCCACGCTCCCTTCTAAATCAAACCTTCTCGGAGAAGTGTGTCTGCAAATGCTCTGGAGGCCAGAAGAGGATGTCGGGTCCTCTGCCCTACATGGATGCTAGGAACCAAACTTACACCTCTGGAGGAGCAGCAACCCCCCCCCCCCAGCCGCCTCCGCAGCCCCCAAGGCTGTTCTCCTCTGTTTACTTAGTGTGCCTGCAGAGTGTCACTTTCAATTCTGCTACTGAGTGACAAAGCAGGATGCCTTTGTTCCCCCTAGGAACCAGATGGTAGCAAAGCTGAAACACCAGTGATTCCCCAAGTACCCTCTGTGCCCCCGGCAAGTCTCGCAGCCTCCACACTAGCTCCTTTCCTAAGGCTGAAATGGAATCAGCCCAGATGGACTGTGTGGACTGTGCCCGTCAGTTTTGTAATCTTCTAACGCTGCTCACCAAGGAGAGTGAAAAAAAAAGTAGGGTGAGAGTCTGTTATATGTGCCTGGGTGAGCCTGTGGAGGTCAGAGGCCAACTTCCAGGGCCTGGTTCTGTTTTTCTTTGCTCACTACAAACATCAAACATCCCAGCTTTCCTTAGGCCTCTTACATGATGCCCATGTTACGTTTTGTTTGTTTGTTTGTTTTTGTTTTTTGAGACAGGGTTTTTCTGTGTAACCGCCCTGGCTGTCCTGGAGCTCACTCTGTACACAGGCTGGCCTCCAACTCACTGAGATCTGCCTTCTTCTACCTGTGGCTTAAAATCACAATGCTCCAGGCGGTGGTAGTGGTGTCGCATGCCTTTGATCCCAGCACTCAGGGGCAGAGCCAGGTGGATCTCTGTGAGTTCGAGGCCATCCAGGACAGGCACCAAAACTACACAGAGAAACCCTGTCTCAAACAAAACAAAACAATAATAATAAAATAAAACCACAATACTGGGATTAAAGGCGCAAGCCACCACCATTCAGCCCATGTTACTTTTTTAATGCTCTAACCAGGCATTCTCTAGGCTATAGCTTAACTCATTCTAATACAATCCAATGACTTCTCTTCCTTAATCATAAGACAGGTATTGGACAAGGCAGGGAAGGGGAACATGTGACAGTGAATAGGATTCAAGCTCCACACTGTAGGACTCACAGGTAATGAAAGGAAACAGGCTTCCAATCCACAGACCCCAGAGAGAGAGAGAGAAAAAAAAAAGTGTGTGTGTGTGTGGGGGGGGGGGGGGTGTCTCTGTAGCAGCAGAAGCAAGCCAGAGCTTGGGGAATAGGAAGCAATGATAACAATTAAGTTAAAGGCTCTCAGGGGTTTCCCTTTCAAAGCATTCAAGGCAGAGGAGACACGGAAGCACAGGCCCGTTTGAGGAGATCTGGAAAAGATCTGGGCCTATCGGAGTGAAGCCCAGAGGATGCTCAACCTGGTGGGGCAGGTTGCCAAGACAGACGGGGGCTGTTTATGGAGGCCCTTGAAGGCCACACGAGGAGGCTGTTCTAAACCCAGTGGGTAGAGGAGAGCCACTGAAAGCTTGTGGAGTGGGGAGTCAGTGACCATGAGCTGTCCTTAAGAAAGGCTGGTAGGGTGTGAGGAGGAGGAGGAGGCCCTGAGCACAGCAGAGGAGGTAGAGGCAGAAAGAGCAGCAGCTAAGGGTTGCTGCCCTTGTAGAGGGCAGTCAGCCATAAGGGGCTGTAGGATCCCACTTCCAGGGTGTTCGGGGTGATGACTGGAGCCGCTTTCTAGGAGCCTGCCTTGATTCACAGTGCAGGAGAAGACTACCAGAGATCTCCAGTTTTCTCAGGGCCAGAGAAGGACTGTGGAGTCTGGGACTCTGAGTTTCTCAGCCTGAGGTCAGCTTGCCTTTTCCACTTCTCTTTTGGCTTTCTGGGTTTTCCCCAGGTTGTGACGTTGACAAACAACACATTTATTTTTTCTTCCTCCTCCTGCTCGACCTGCTGTTTCCCTTGTGACCCATGTCACCCTCTGTTGGGTCTGCTTGCTGCTGGAGCCTGTGGGCCAGCCACTCAGAAGGCTGAGGCAGGAGGAGTGCTGGAATCCAGGAGTTTGAAACCAGCCCATCACATATCCTCTGAAAAAATAAACAGTAAAGGATCAACAAATAAAAAGACCGTTTCTCCTCTGCTAAGAGAGACTGATTGATTTGTGTTCTTTGAGACAGTCTCACTGTGTATTCCAGGCTGGTTTTTAACTCAGGATTCTCCCATCTCAGCCTCCCCAGTTCTAGAATTACAGATTATGCCATGACCCCTGACTCCTCCCCTCTGCAGGGTCACTGGATGATCTTGTCTGCAGACTTCCAACCTTGGTCAACTGCCAGAACATTGTTTGTCAATGGATTGCAGAAACAACTGATTTCTCCAGAAACTGACTAGGGATACCCACAAGAGGAAAGGAGACCCCTGTTCTTTTCTAGGGAAGCCCACTTTGGGCCCAGAAAACTCCCTCCTACTGAATCAGCTGGAGACCGGCTGAAAGCTGGGATGTGATCTGTGAGCCTGCCTGAGGGCTCACAGTGTGGGACTTTGTAGATGACAACACTGTGTCGCAATGTCAGAAAGCTGGACCGCCCTTGGAGGGTTTTTGTTTTTGTTTTTTCTAATGTGCATTGGTATCTCGCCTGCATGTGTGTCTGGGTGAGAGTATCAGATCCCCTGAAACTGGAATTACAGACACTTGTGAGCTGCCATGTGGGTGCTGGGAATTGAACCCAGGTCCTCTGGAAGAGCAGCTAGTGCTCTTAACCACTGAGCCATCTCTCCAGCCACCTACCTGAGGTTCTTGTGAATTTACTTTATTTTTGGTTTTCTGTGTAGCCCTGGCTATCCTCGAACTTGCTCTGTAGATCAGGCTGGTCTCAAACTCAGAGATCCACCTGCTTCTGCCTCCTGAGTGCTGGGATTAAAGGCGTGCACCACCACATCTGGACATTGTGACTTTAAATTTTTTATTTATATTATTTTTAAGTGTGTGTGTGTGTGTGTGTGTGTGTGTGTGTGTGTGTGTGTGTGTGTGTCTGCATGTGGGTATGTGCATGTGAGTGCAGGTGTCAGCAGAGGCCAGAAGCACCAAATTCCCCGGACCTGGAGTCAACAGAGAGTTGTGATCTGTCTGATGTGGATGCTGGGAACAGAATTTGGGTCCTCTGGAAGAGCAGCGATGCACTTAAACACTGAGCCATCTCTAGCCATTATTGTGATTTTAGACATGTCCAACCATGATCTATAGGCTATATGCAATTCATGTAGCCAAGAATAGCTATGAATGCCACCTAACACAAAACGAGAAAACTTAATAATATGTAATTAGGGGCTCGAGAGATGGTTCAGCAATTAAAAGCACTTGCTGCTCTTCCAGAGGACCCAAATTGTGTTCCCAGTATCCAAGTTGGGATCTGAGGACCTCTTCTGGCTTCCAAAGGTACACATACACATGTATTCATACATGGGGCACACACACACACACACACACACACACACACACACATAAATAAAAAAAAATAAATCTTAAGGAATCAGGCTTGATGGAGCATGCCTTTAATCCTAGCACTCTGGAGGCAGAGGCAGGTGGATCTCTGAGTTTGAGTCCAGTCTGGTCTACAAAGCACAAAGCGAGTTCTAGGACAGTTAGGATTACACAGAGAAACCGTCTGAAAAAAACAAAACAAAAACAGAAACAAAACAAAATCTTTAAAAAATTAAGAGATTGGTTTGGCAAAATCATTCTGAGGGTTTTTTTGTTGTTTGTTTTGTAACTCAGTTGCAGGCCTCTCCAGTGTGGAACTTTGTAGATGACAACGCTGTGTCGCAATGTCAGAAAGTTGGACCGCCCTTGGAGGGTTTTGCCCCAGCGTCGGCTGTTGGGGGAGGAAGAGCAGGCATTCGCCGTACACATTGCTGACTTGCAGCACTTGGAGCAGATGGTCCAAACTCTTCAGTTTTCTCAGGGTGAAGAGGACTCTGGGATTTTCCTTGCACTTTCGGGCCCCTGGTCAGGTACCTGGTCTTCATAGTGACGTCCCTTAGTCCCTTAGCACCAGTGAGGTGCCAGCGTCCCGTGGGATTCCCAGGTCTGGAGGGTGACGCTTGGGGTTTCCCCCAGCTGATAGGAGCAGCAGGTCCGGCCCTCCCCGAGGCGGGGCTTTGAAAGCTTGAGGCCAGATCTGGTCCTGGAGGCCGCCGAGCCCCCCAGGTTCCCCGACCACCAGTTCCGGGAGTGCCATGGGACAGCTGATAGCCAAACTGATGCGAATCTTTGGGAGCCAGGGTAAGGGCGCACCGCACAGCCTAGTGACTGACCTCTTTGATTCCGCTGTCTTCTGGAGCTCTTGGGATTTGGGGGTCATCGGAGAAGACGGACTGGGAACCTGGGACTTCTAGAGTCCGTTGTGTGCTCTCCCATATGCTCCACGGCCCCCTCTCCGCTCTCCCAGTCGCACTTTTCCTGTCTCTGTGCTTCAGTGTGCTCAGTGCATGAGGGTGGGAGAGCCTCCTGCCCCTACCCCGCCACCTAGCTGGGCTGCGCGCCACCTGGATAAGTCAGTTTCCTGAGATGGTGACTTAGAATCCAGCGTGCTTCGGACCCTCAGACAATCGCTTTCTAGAAATGTGGAGGGAGATGGGATGGGGTCAGTTCTCTCTTCCACATTCCTGGAGAGGTGCTGGCGTCTGGTCCGATGGCAAGTGAAGTGATGCAGTCCTCAGCCCGCGGAGGACGCGTTTCCCAACGCATCCTAGGAATAGGGCAAGGGGTGGAGTGGAGTGGGGAAGGTCCCCAGCCTGCCGGGGACGCGTTTCCCAGCGCACCCTAGGGATGGAGAGATGGTGGTTGGGTTCGCAGAGTGCCAGGAGAGGGGTGGAGCCGGGAGAGGAGAGGGCACCCAGGCAGGAGCGGAGGGTGAGGAAGAGACCAGGACAAGAATCTTACTGGGGACACTCGAGCCCATGGCTTTCGGGGTTGGCTCTGACCTTGTCTTTCCCCTGGATCCCTTCAGAGCACAAAGTCATCATCGTGGGACTGGACAATGCAGGAAAGACCACCATTCTCTACCAGTTGTAAGTAACTACTGGGTGGACGGAGAGGGCTGGGCTTCACACCAGACTGACAGTCATTTGGACCAATCACCAGAGCCCTTCCCTGGGTTCGTAGGCAGCTGTAGACAAGAAGATTTATGGGTGGATGCTGGTGTGACCTTCCTGATTTAGTGGTTGTAGGCCTGGATTTGAATCCTGCAAGCTGTGGGCGATCCCTAATCCCACCGCCTCCCGCAATCAGTCCTGATCGCATTTCAGTTCTGGCGGGTTTGGAATGCCCGGAGGTTTCTCGCCTCGCTGCTCTTGGCTCCCCCTGGCGGCAGGGTCCTTCTTACCTTTGCACCTTAGTTAATTTCTCCAAGTTCCATTCTCCAACTTCCAACCTCTGGGCGGACCGTGAACCGCCCCCCCCCCCCCCCCCCGAAGCTATACAAGCTCCCCGAAGTTCTGCAGCTCCGGGTCTGCTGCAAAGCTCCTCAAACAGCAACCCGGACTTTCCCAGGCCCTCGTTCAGGATGGAGTCTCTCCTGATTTGGAGACTCCAAAGCATCTATTTATTTAGGGCAAGTGCTTCTCTGAGAAAGTAATAGATGAACGACATTAATTAATTAATATTAGGGGAAAAAAGGTCTGGCGGTGTTGATCAGTCAGTGGTAGAGTGCTTGTCTAGAATTCTTGAGACTCTACATTAGATTAGAAAAGAAAAATTCAAGTAGTACGAAGTCCTCACTCCCAATCTTCCTCCTTATAACTTCTTGGTGAGCTTTCAGAAAACATGCGTAACGGGACATAGTGGTCCTTGCCTATAATCACAGCACTCTGGAGCTTAAGACAGGAACATCTCATATTTGAGACCATACGATGAGATACAACCATTAAAAAAAAAAAAGAGAGAGAGAGAAAAAAGAAAAACAAAATCTCCCCCCCGGGGGGGAAAAAAACCAAAATGAAAACAAATAAAAATAAGGTTTTTTTTTTGTTTTTTTGTTTTTTTTTTTTTCCACCTCTAAACCAGGAAAGTGTCTGATGGTCCTTACTCAGATCTGACTGGTTTTTCACAGCTCCCACAATTCCAGTGTGGTTCACAGTCCAGAAGCAACGCCGCCATCTGGAAGCTTAGCAGTATTGCAAGCCTCTGGGTCTCTGGGATGGTTCTGAGGAGGCCCTCCTCTCTGGGGTACCAGTCCACATTTGGACTAACTCATACCTCCTCCCCCACACACACATCAATTACAGGATGTAGGCCTCCGGGCCTGCTTGGTCCCCCAGGGCTGAGCAGTTCTGAATTGGATTCAGCTGCTTTGGGAGTCGAGGGGCGATGGTCAGAGCTGGGCCAAGACCTCAGAACCTTCTCTTGCCTCCCTAGCCTGACTAATGAGGTGGTTCACACGTGTTCAACCATTGGCAGCAACGTGGAAGAAATTGTTCTTCAGAAGACTCACTTCCTCATGTGGGACTTAGGGGGCCAGGAGACTCTGCGCTCCACCTGGGACACATACTACTCCAATGCTGAGGTGAGGAGAGAGCCGTGTCTGGGAGGTAGATGGTCTGTCAATCACTTACCGCACTCTCTGAGCCTAGCTTCGGCCACCTGGGATGTGATTGAACAATGGTTCCTCAAGCTGTCTTGAAAAGGAAATAACAACAAACAGTTGTCAGCTACTTAACATAGTGTAGCATCCGTGAAGATTTTTGAATCCTAAAAAACAAAACAAAACATATATAAATATGTAAATACGAATGTAAAAGAGAAAGATTTTCGAATCGTAAGATGAGTGTGGTGGTCCATGCCTATAATCCCAACACTTGAGGGATGGAGACAGGAGGGTCATAAGTCCCAGACCAGCTTGGGTTGTATACCAAGATTTTGTCTCCAATGAATAAAGTATAAGGTGATTAAAAATGGGTCCATCGTGGTTCGAATGGCAGGCTGCACGGCTCCTCTCCTGTGGGGCTGGCACTCGGGCAGGGCAGAGGCCTAACCATCGGTAGGAAGTACGTTCACCAAAGAGAAAGCTTGCAGCTCATACCTCGCTCTTGCTGGGCAGTTTGTCATCCTTGTGATCGATAGTTCAGACCGGAATCGGCTGCTGACCACCCGGGAGGAGCTGTATAAGATGCTGGCCCATGAGGTAAGCCCCCTGAACTTGGGAAGCCATCCAGTGAGACCAGCTGTGTGCTCCCAGGCTGGTCGCATGCTCGTTTATTATAGATAAAGGGTCCTGTCCGTGCTCTCAGGACAACTGAGTACAGAGGTTAGAGTTGCTGGTTCAAGGACTGCGCTCACCACTCACTCACTGTGAGACCTTGAGCAAGTTGCTTCATTTCTACTAATTAGGAAGATCATTAGTTTCTACCTCACAGTGGCAATGGTGGCTCTTACATGCAATCTGGGAAACTGAGGCTGATTGCCATGAGGTTGAAGCCAGCCTGGGCTCCATATAGAGTTCCAGGCCAGTCTGGGCTACAGAGTAAGATTCTGTTTTGTAAAAAAAACAAACAAGCAAACAAACAACAGTAACAAAACAATGTCTGAGGTTATTGTAACCATCTGTGAGCAGTTGGAAGATGTCCCATGAGCTGTAGCATCATTTGATGGGGTTGTTAATGTTGGGTGGGTCTCCACCTCTGTCCCATCGGGCCATGGGTCTCTCTTGCTACAACAGTTGGGCAGGGATCCCAGAGGACTCTTGAGGCTGTGGGAGGGATGCTGGCTGGCTGGCTGACCTGGGCCGGGCTCTTCTGCCCACAGGCACTTCAAGATGCCTCAGTCCTGATCTTTGCCAACAAGCAGGATGTGAAAGACTCCATGACCACAGCAGAGATCTCCCAAGTCCTCACACTGAATGCCATCAAAGACCACCCGTGGCATATCCAGGGCTGCTGTGCTCTCACCGGAGAAGGGTTAGTCCCCTACCTTTCCCTGGCCTGGCCCAGCTGATGGGCAGAAGGTTACAGGAACCCCCCCCCCCCCCCCCCCCGTCTCTTTCCAGTCAGAATCTGGCCCACAGTTGGCTCCTGGCCCAGTAAGATGGACACAGGCCCAAAGCTAAGGTCCTGTGAGCCTGCAGAGCTCCCGGGCTCCAAGGGCTTGTTCTAACGGTAAGCGCTAAAACGCCACCAAAACAACAGGGATTTTAGAGACCGAGAAACTCTTTGGAGACAGTGAAATGGACAAAGTGGCAGAAGGGCAAGGGTAACTCTGATTTTTGTCTCCATGGTCGGGGATAGCTGAGGTTCCAGGCAAGAGGAAGAAGCTGTGGAAAGACCTCAGGAGACTGGCCTCCAAGGCGGAAGTCGCCGACTCTCTGACTTTCTTGTAAAAGGAGGGGACCATACTTCCCTCTCCCCCAGTTCTGCAGAGAGTGACTGGCACAATTTCTTCATTAGGCTTTTTTGAATACCTACTTTGTGCCAAGTGCTGCTCTGGGAATTGGAAAAAACAGTGGCGAACAAAACCAGACAAAATCCCTGCCTTGGGGATGGCTTGTAGCCGCACATGTCTGAAGCCCTGAACCATTGCACACCCGCAATCCCAGTACTTGGGCCGCAGAGGCAAGACGATCAGAAGTTCAAGCTCCTCCTCCACTATCCAGTGAGGCCAAGGCTAGCCTGGGCTGCATATCAAGGCCCTGCCACAAAAACCAAGAACATAACAAAATAAACAAACAAACAAAAAAGTGATACACAGGAAGATGGAGAAAGAAAAGAAAAATTGGCAATAGTTGGGGGGAAACTTTGTATGTGCACATGTGGACCTGCCCACGATGAGGATAAAGGATCCTAGTACTTGGATCAAATACCTCAGACTGTGAAGGGCTGGATTTCTCCAAAAGGGACTTCCATGAGGCCTGGAAATTTCCATTCATCTCCCCTGTCTGGACACTTTCTGGAAGAAAAGGAAACTCTAAATAAGAGAATTCGAGGGACCACAGATTTCTGGCGACATTAGGGACTCTGGTCTTCTCCAATCTGTAGTCTAATTCACAGTACTCCCTGGGTCCTGTGCCATACCCTGGGCCAGGCTAAGCTGGGTGATGGCAGACATTTTTGCTAAGTTTCCACTTTGGCTCTGGAGGTGTTTTTCACCTCGTGAGGATCTTGCTTCTTCCCAAGCCTTTGAGGTCACCCGGCTACTGCCCCTCGTGTCAAAAGGGGACGCAGAAGGCTTGTCCAGACACACTGCTCCAGGGCTCAGAAGGTGAGGCTCCAAGCTGCCTTAGAGGAGCCTCCCGGGGCTACCAGAGGCCTCCGACTCCTTATTTGTTGGCTTATTAATGTATTGTCCATTCCCTCTGCTAACTTTGTAGGGCGACTGCTTCTTCCCAGGAGCCCCAGCCCCCACCCAGCACAGTGGGTGCTGATGCATGCTGGAACTCACTTCCCTTCTACCATTAAGTGATTGACTCTAACCTTGGCTACCCTCTCAGTCTGTCCCGGGCAGAGGCTTGGAGCTTTCCAGCCATCCTCTTATGGGAAATGCTGATGGTCCTTTGTGCTGTGGTCCATTCCTCCCTCCCTGCAGGCTGCCAGCTGGGCTTCAGTGGATGAAATCTCAGGCCACCACCAAGTGATGTTCCAGCCTGAAGCCAACCAGAAGCCACATGGTTAGCACCGGTGCGAAAACCCAGTCGTTTGCTGGTGGAAACAGTGGACAGAGAGACTGCCACTGTCCTCTCGACTGTCACTGAGGAGCTGGACCAATGACTTCAAGTTGGTGCAGACAGGGCCACAGATGAAACTGCCCCTCACTGAGGAGACACAGGGAACCTGCTGAGTGTGTTGGGGGACCCCCTCCCAGCCCTCACCTTCTGTCTGCCCGAAAGCAAGAGATCTTTGACATTGGGCCCTATCCATTAGACAACGGAGATTCCGATAAAGGAGGCAACAGGACCGGGCCAAAAGTTGGGGGATGGGGTGAGGTGGAGGGTGGGAAGACAGAACATTCCAGACAGAGGCAATCCTTCACACTTGCCGCCCGCCTTTCTGCTCCCTCTTGGATGCTAACTCTGACCGCAGCTTTTGGGTCTAAGTCATCACGTGGCATCTCCTTTCCTCTCAGTGTCCTTCCGGTGTGAGTCCCACTCCTCTCAAACATCATAGGTTTCTACAGGACCTACTTATTTTGTCTTTGTGTCTGCTTAAAAAAAAAAACAACACATTGCATTAAGATTTAAAAAGTAGCCGGGCGGTGGTGGCGCACGCCTTTAATCCCAGCACTCGGGAGGCAGAGCCAGGCGGATCTCTGTGAGTTCGAGGCCAGCCTGGTCTCCAAAGCGAGTTCCAGGAAAGGCGCAAAGCTACACAGAGAAACCCTGTCTCGAAAAACCAAAAAAAAAAAAAAAAAAAAAAAAAAAAAAAAAAAAAAGATTTAAAAAGTAAAGGTATATAGTAAGTGCTATTGAAAACGTCTCTCCTCTTATTTCTGTCTGTTCCGGAAACTGGCTTTTGTTCCTTGCAAAGGGGGCGGGGCGGGTGGGTGGGTGAGAGAATCACCTTGGAAACGGGGTGGGGGAGCGGAAGGTGGGGGAGCGAGAACTCAATGCTCCATTTGGCTAGAGAACTTGGCTAGGGTTAGCCAGGTTGAAGGACATTGGTACCAGCTAACCAGGACCCGGGGTGCTTAGTTCTAGATCTAGTGGTGATAAGAGGCTTGATAGTGATCCACTGAGAAGGGGACCCCAGAGGAAGGAAGAGCCCCAGCCAGGGTCCTTTAGAGGTGATGCTAAAGATGGATTGGAGGCCCATGCTGTCCTTCTACATTCAGGGACCTAAACAGGATAGCGCATCTCCTTTCCAATCAGGCAGTGGACCTCTAGGGGAACCTGGGCAGAGAAACAGAGGACCCAGTATATTTAATCTTGTAGTTTCCCTGCGATGTGGTTATGAAGGAAAATCTTGTGAGTTCTAGACATTTTAGTCATACTTTATGTTTTCATTAGGTTACTCTTAACATAACTAAAAATGTAAAGGGATAGCTGGTCCATAGAAATCTATTCCATAGAAATTCATTCTGATAAGCCCAGTCTAGCGTGCTGGGGGTATAGCTCAGTGGTAGAGCATTTGACTGCAGATCAAGAGGTCCCCGGTTCAAATCCGGGTGCCCCCTCGCGGCTTTTTGCTGTATATCCTTTTGCTAACAAGCTGACCTAGCTTGAGCCTTCAGAAAGTGGGTCTCCCCGAGCCCACCCTATTTTGATGGCGTGTGCTGTCCTACTATTGCTGCGGTCCAGTGTTCGTCCTTAGCCGGAATGTGACCCGAGGCGAACCTCTGGTCCGACCGGTACCCCGAGGCAGCCGCTCGTGAACCGCAGGGCGCGACGAGTGAGCTCGACGGCTGTCCCTTAGGGAGAGCTGAGTGTCTAGGGTCGGGGCTGAGGTTGGAGGCAGAAGGTCGGGAGAAGTCGAGAGAGCGTGGAGAAGCAGCGGCGGAGCTGCAGAGCGGGACCCCGCCCAGAGGAGCGCCGGGGCAGCGAGGGCTCGCCTCCATCTTTCTGTACATTTTCTTGTACCATCAGAAGGAATCTCAGAGCGTCGGGAAATACCCTTTGTTTTCAAGCGAGCAATCCGGCGCGTCAGTTCCTTATATTTCTTGAAAACTTCGGACCTTAATTCTGCTTTTCTAGAGATGCTTTATTGCGCCTGCGCAAGAATCACACTTAGTGGTTACTGGCGCAGGGTTGCCGGCAGAGGGGGTATAGCTCAGTGGTAGAGCATTTGACTGCAGATCAAGAGGTCCCCGGTTCAAATCCGGGTGCCCCCTCTCGTACTTTTATGCATTTTTGTTTAACGATGGCTTATGTTCCACGTGTTTATATGGTAACATTTCTTTCGTCAACTTCCAGGCAGTTGGGAAGCGATGACGGCGGTTAAGGACCCGGGAATTTCGAGGGCAGTGCCTCTCAGCACTTAGATCCACGCTAGAAATGAAGGTTCCTGTCGTCATCTATGTCCCAGTGAAATAGCCTGGCGTGGGGCTAGAAATGTGTGTCCCGAGGAGAGCTCCAGGTGCACGCTCACGTTCTAGAGGCTTACGTTTAGAAACTTGTAAACATCATTTGCTTCTAATACTTCCGAGCTGCTGCTTTGGCCTGGACCTTAATAAAAGGCCTTATAAAAATGCAGCGCGGGCACCAAGACTGCCCGTGCACGAAGACACCAGACTGAGGCTGGTGGTCCATCCCGGACACTCTAAAGGCTCTCCACGGCGCCTGCGTGGGCGGAAAGAGTCGAGAGAGCTGCGAAACGCCAACCCGACGGTTCGCCACATGGCCTCTGGGTGGCGGTAGGAGGCCGCAGCTGGAAAAGACAGCCTATTCGGGTCCCCCCACCCTACCCCACCCCACCCCCAGGCTGTTAAGGGAGAATTCACGTTAGGAGTTAGGAATTCAACGGCCCGTTTGGTGGGCTCACGCCTGTAATCTGTCCAGTAACCAGAGACAGGAAGGGTGGTCGTGAGTTCGAGGCCAACACGGTCTAAAACGTGACTCCCTGTCTGGAAAAACAACAAAAACTTCTGTTGCGGAAGAGAGTGTAATTGGGATCCTGAAAGATGAGAGAGAATTTAGCTTTCATTTCCTTCCCCCGGTCCTTCTTTTGACCTCAGTGTCAAACCACCCACCTGCTCAAGACCACACACTACTTCTGTCCCCACCCGCACCCTGCTTCTCAGGATGTGCACCCTTCCTTTCCGCACTCTCCAGGGGCCCCTCCGCCCTCACCACTCCCTAGGCCCCAATCCTTCACACGAAGTAGGTCACAGGCACCTTCGCGCCTTGACCTGGTTCCCTGCCGTCTATTAAATCTCCTAAATTGCGGGTATTTTTATTCTCTCCTGGAAGGACAAAAAAAAAAAAAAAAAAAAAAAAAAAAGAGTGCCCTATTCCCAGAGCCCGATAGTGTGGTGGCAGTGGGCGCCCCTGCCAGGCTCTGGGTCTAGCTTTGATTGGGTCTGGCCTGCTTGGGGAGGGGGCGTCCGTGCTGCTTCAGATTGGGAATGTGCCAGATTCCTGCACCTACACGTCTGCTGGGCTGGGGGTTGGAGGAGAGCCGGTGCTGGAGATGGGGTGTAAAGCCGTGAAGTGGGGGGAATGCAAATCGCGCCTCGGCTGCGGCAGAAGCTGGGGGGCTTGGCTGCCGGGCATGCCTGTGCGTGGGTCCGTGAGTGCGCTTTTGCAGGACACCAGGAAGCCACAGAAGTCCAGGGACCAGCTCAGAAAGTCACATGCCCTGGGGATGAGCGGCAGGAGCCCATGGCCCAAGTAGAGGCGCTTCCTGGGGTCCTCCACCGCGGCCTTTTCCCTGATCTCCTTCTGGGCGAGCTGCGTTCTCTCGGTGACCGGCGGTGTCTCGGCGCGGTCCCGGGTCCGGCGGGGCGCGGCGCGGAGCTCCGGGAGGCGGGGACCCCGGCGTCGCGCCCCGCCCTCCGGGCCCTCCCGCCCGCGCTCCCCGAGGCCGCAACGCCGCGCTTTGCTCGCCGTGCCCGCTCCGCTCCCGCTCCCCTCTCGCCCAGCCCGGGGCCGCTCCCTCTCCAGCCGCCGCCGCGAAGACCCTGAGGCCGTCGGCGCCCACCATGCGGCCTCAGCTCTGGCTGCTGCAGCTGCTGCTGCTCCGTGGGGTCGCGCGCGCGCTCAGTCCCGCAACACCCGCAGGTAGGACGCGCGGGCAGGGCAGGTGCAGAGCCGCCAGCGGGACGCGGGATATTACCCGCGGGAGGCCGAGGACAGGGGGACAGGGACCCTACTTTCCCTGTGTGCGCACAGAAGGTGCGCACCCTGGTTTCTGTCGGAAAGACGTGGAGGGACCCAGCCGGGGGTCCCCAGAAGAGTCATAGGGACCGCGATCCTTCCAGGGAGGCGTTTGCCTTTCCACGCTCGTCCCTGTTGGCACCCTCGGCTGGTCTAGGCTGGGTCCCAGTGGGGCTTGAAGACTGCGTGGGAGCCGCCGGAGGATGGGGGACACCCTAGCCCAGCCTTTCTCTCTGGGCACCCGCGTGGCCGTCTAACTTGCTTCCCCTACCTATCGCGCACCGGCGGAGAGGCAGGGGCCCCAGGAAAAAGCAGCTTGCCGCTCCCGAATCTCCCAGAGTCAAGGGTCCCCTCTCCCTGCTGTCTGGTTCTGCTCGTCGGCTCTCAGTTGCCCTGACTGTGCCCGGGGTGGGGGTGGGGCCCGGGGAGGCAGTGGGGGAGGAGCTTCCATTCTGCACGCTCCTCTTTCCCCTATTCCAGTTTCTCAAAACATTTCTTCCGCTTGGGGATGCTTTCGGAGATCTATCCTGAATCCCTCATGTTATCAAGAAAGGCCATTTTCCAATACATAATTTAGGCTCGGTACACAGACTTTCTCTGGGGCTGGGAATAAGGGTGATCTTCAAGCTCCTTGAAAGAGAGAACTGGGTGCCCCTCATCTGGGGTCAGGGAAGGGGTAGTTCCTGGGGCGCTGCTGTTGACTGTTGTGTCAGCATTGGCTCTAACCGTGTTCTTGGCTTTCATGGTCACAGTATGTGATTCAAATGAGCCTGTGTTGGCATGAGGTGGTATGGGTGGGGGACGCTGGTGACGACCGTGGGGGCAGAGGGCAGAGAAGTCACGTGTCTAGAGACTGCTGTGGAGCCATCAGCGTTCAGGGAGGCCCTACAGAAGGTGGCTGGACACTTGGCTTCTAGTTCTGCTGTCTCACTTGCTCTGTGACCTTGGGCAAGTTACTTGCCTTCTCTGGGCCCATTTCTTGATTTATAAAATGAGGTTATTGGCAAAATCTTCGGCTTTTGGAAGTAGGATTATGAAAGATTTTTTTCCCCCTTCTCACGATATTCTTCCCTTCTCAAACATGTACAGGCAACTGATAATTTGTTTTAAAACTGCAGATGGGAAGATTCAGGGAGGGAATGTCTGAGTTCCTGTCAGCCTTAGCCTGGTGTGTTTTCTGAGCTCAAATATGGCTGGGTGGATGAGGGGTTTGGGCCATGGAGAGGGCTGAAGGAGGGGAGTTGGCTGCATTCGGGGCCCAGAGGGACATGTGTCACCTGTCTGTGGACTATACATTCTCTGCACTGAGATTCATCTGGGAGATTTGGACTATCTGTGGCAAGTAAGACTGAGGTTAGACCCAAGGAAGCTGTGAAAAGCCATCAGGGCAACTGTTGACTCTTCCCAGGTTCGGCTGGGCTTTGGTGGTGGTGGTGGTGGTGGTGGTGTTTGTAGAGACCGTGTGTACAAGTGGGGAAGCCTGAGAGGGGTCCCTTGAGGGAGGCTGGCTGCCTGCTCTGTGTGGTAGCAACTCTGGCCAGGGAGTGCAACACAGAGGAGCCCCTGCAGAGGCAATGGTGTCCCTGGCAGGGCTGGCAGGGCTGGCAGCAGCAAGGTCCATTCCTAGAGCCCTGTCCCCACATCCATCCTTAGAACAGGAACAGGAGACACTAATGACCTGAAGTAGGAGTCCAGTCACAAGGAGACAGAAGAAGCCAGCAGACCGGCAGGTAGACAGACAAACAGATGGCAGACAGGAAGATGGCCTCAGGGCCCAGGGAGTGGACCCTGAAGGTCTGGTCCCAGGGTTCAGAGACACGCAGGGCATGCACAGAAGGAAGAATCCCACAGGCAGCCATTTCCAAACCCAACAGGGCCCCCTGAAAGCCAAGGCTGCCTGTCTCTAGAGCGGGAGCTGAAAGATGTCTCATAACCCGTCCAACCATAATCCGATTCCAGCTCCCTCCTTGCCCATCAGGGGCCTCCCAAGAAACTAACATACTGTGACTAAAATTCAGACCCCTCACAATGGCTGCTGGCATTGCTACTGCTTCCCATCAGCTCCAGGACCCCCTCTTCAGAGAGACCTACCCTGCCGGCGGGGCCAGACAACAACCTTACTCTCTGGCCTGATCCACTGTGCTGCCTCTATGGGAAGAAGTCGAGAATGTTTGGGCTCAGGATCGCGCCTGCCTGTCACTGAGGACTCCTCCACCCCCTCAACACAGCTTGTGTGGAAACCTGCTTAATAAATGTCTGTGGGAAAGCTGGGCATGGTGGGTCACACTGAGAGCAAGGCCACTTGGAGGAAGAATGATCGCAAGTTTAAGGTCATCCTCAGCTACATAGTGAGTTGGAGGCCAGCCTACTACTTGAATCCCCAGACCCAGGGGAGGTTAGGTTAGTTGCTGGCTGCTTTGTGGACACAATTTTGTTAAAGATTCAACCTAGCAAGTGGTAGAGCTGTTCTTACCCCATCTTACCTGTTAGAGATGGAAGCTTCCAGAGAATCTGTAAACTGTGGTGTTGTGGTTCAAGGTTGGACCTCAAGCGTGGCGACACACCTGTGCTCTTCCACTGCTGTGACAGGGCAGTGGGGGTCTCCAGCAGGGCTGTGCCCAAGGGAAGGTCTGTCTCCTCTGTCCTATGAGGCTTGGTGCTGGCTTCCCCTTCCTGGATGCCAGCCTCCCCCCTGCCAGCCTCCCTGCTTCACTTACTGGTGCCCCTTGAAGACCGACTGGTCCTCGCAGTACCCAGAATTCCAGATGCTCAGGCAGTAAAGGGCATGATGGTCCAGGAAGTCAGCTCGGGTGGTACACCTGGCATCTGGGAGAGAAGTGTCAGGGAGACTCTGGCGGTCTTGTCATCTTGTCACACTTGGAGGATTAGTAAGAGCTCATCCGGTGAAAAGCATTGTCTAGGAGCAGAGTGGTCTTGGCTGAGGAAACTGAATCTCTGGCGGCTGGACAGCAGGGCTGGGTCCTAGAGGGCCTCAAGGGATGTGAGAGAAAGCGGGGCCTGCCCACAAGTGCCCTCAGATCAGCGGGAGGGATGTGGCAAGAGATGGACTCAAGCGGGTCCTTTGGACAGCCTGCTCTAGCTAGAGTTGTGTGGGCAGCTGGCTCTGGGGCATGTAGAGTGGACGCCGAAAGGAATATCCAGAGAGACTCTCAGTGGCCTGGACAGCATGGTGGCAGTCTGGCTGGAAAGACTAGCTTGAGTGGCACATGAGATTGTGGGTTGGGTCAGGCCCTGGGTGGTGGAGCCTGGCTCCTCCTCAGCCTTAGAGGGGCTGTACCAGGTCAGAGATGGGAGCATGGCCTTAGTACTCTCCACACCAAGTCAGGTGGCCAGTCTCCTCAGGCGGCTCCCAAGTTCAGGCCAGTGGTACCCAGGGCACCCTCCAGGAACCCAGCTCTGGGGCTGCCCCTGCACCTTAAGAGACAGACTGAGAGTTTCTAGTTGTTTCTTGTGTAGCCAAGGATGGTTTTTAACTAAAGTTTCTCCCACCTCAGCCTCTGAAAAGATGGAGGTTCAGGGGGTTCCATGCTATCAGCTCCCGATTGCTTTTTTTTTTTTTTTTTTTGAGATAAAGTCTTATTCTGCAGTCCAGTCTGACCAAAACTTGCTATGGGATCAGATTGGCCTTGAACTCACAGAGATCTTCCTGCCTCTGCCCCCTGAGTGCCAGGATTAAGGGCATGTGCTACTTACTATGTTTGGCCTTATTGTACCGTGTTCTACAGTTCTGACCAGACTGAAGCTATCCTGCCTGAGTTCAAATCCTGCCCATGGACTGATTGGGTGACCTTGAGGGGGGTTGTTTTCCTGCTTTATAAAATGGATCTAAAGCTAGTGCTTATCTCCTGGGGTTGATTGATATGGGGATGAAAGAGTGCATGAGTCCTCAGACTACCACAGCTAAGATGGCAGCCTCTCAAAGTCACTGCTGTTCCCACATCCTGTTAGATAATGCAGCGCTAGGAGCCCTGAGTGACGGGCTTCTTCTGGAAGCAAAGGATGGAGTGGGTACTGAGAGGCAGTATCTGGGGCAAGGGTGTCTTAAGGTGCCTAGGCATGCCACCCTTATGGACCTGTTAGGCTGAGGCTTCCACTAGGCTTCAAGACTGTGTGACCAGCCACGTACACTGGCTCCTGGCATGGGCTGAGAGGTGACATCCTGACCCATCCAAGGGGGAAGGGTGAGAAGCTGAAGCTGGAAAGACACTCCTGAGAATTCCTAACTCTCCTTAGCCTCCTCTGCCCTTATTCTGTCATCCTGCACAGAACCCGTGCTCCTGCTCCTGGCTGGTTGGAACCTCATCTCTGTTTTTTACTCAGTACCCAGGGCAACCTGTTGTTGGTGTGGTTGTCGCACAGGGACACTGAAGTTTGCGAGTCTGCAAACTCGACGGTGGTAGGCTGGAATGGACCATCTTGCGGGCCTCCAAGCTCCCCATCTCACATCCCCCACCGTAGTCAGTCCAGGGGTGGTACTTCCTGCCGGTCCACACCTCAGCCCTTCCACTTGGCCTGCATATGTGCCTTTCCAGTTCAGGAAAGAGCTCCTGCACTCCCCTCCGGGCTACTTGCAGGAGGACTTGGGGGGAAGGCCACCCAACTCAGCACAAACAGCCTGCCACTAACAGTGAGCTGTGACCTTGCTGATGAGGCCAGGCAGCTTTCGTGGGGCCGAGTGGTCCTCAGCTGCCACCTAGCGCCGGGCTTTCAGCCATTTGGTAGATGTCTTGGGGAAGAAGTCAGAACTGCCCCCTCTGCCCACATTCTCCAGGAGCATCTGGTTATGATTAGGGGCAGAGATGTGAGGGGGGGGGGCCCGGCAACAGTCCAGCAGGCACCAGCAGCCAAGAATGACTTAATTGGATAAAATGCCTAATGACAAATCAGAGCTCCACAGCAGCATCCTGGCCAGACCCCAGGCCTGGTCCAGCCAAGCCTTGTTTCAACCTCTGTCCTTATGTCTACCCGAGAGCTATCCCTTAGTGTAGTGTCCTCAATTATGCAATGATTGAGCACTTACTGTTTGCACCCTGAGGAGAATGGAGAGAGGCCTGAGGAGCACAAGTCTCCCAGGGAGAGGGCACAAAGTGACCTCAGGGAGGGATCTAGGACAGTGAGAACCACTCAGGGAGCTTTGGTGAGCAAGGTAGATGGAGTCCAGAGGTGAAGAGGAGAGAGGTATCTGATCGAGGACCCAAAATTGATGAAGGCCACGGGTGGGGTGGTCTGTGTCCTTTATATATCCAGGGCAGGTGTGACAGTTAGAATGACAACATAGGGCACAGCTTTGGGGACCTAACTCTCTGAAATGGAAAGGGATGCTTTTTAGTGTCATTTAGAATCAGTTTAACAGCCCAAGACAGCTGGAGTCTTGGAACAACTGCATCTGGGCAGCTACTTGCCAATTCTGTGCTCGTGACAGACATTACTAATCGATCATGACACCCTCTGCTGATAAACACAAATGAAGTCTTGGGATTCCTATCTAGAGTGCTTCTGGCTGCCACTAATGAATGGGAGATGGTATTTGAGATGAACCCTCTTTGCCATCCCAACTGGTTTCTCGGCCCCTTGTTACACAGGAAAGTGATTTGCCTGAGATCAAAGCTTGAAAGTAATGATGGAGCTAAGACTATGCTCCTCAGGAAGACAAGGGAGCCAGGCAAGGTAACACACCTTTAGTCCTAGCACCTTAGAGGCAGATACAGGCAGATCTCTGTGATTTTAGGCCAGCCTCATGTACACAGCAAGTTCCAGGTCAGCCAGGGCTAAAAGTATTGATATCCTGTTTCAAAATCAACCAAATCGCCGGGCAGTGGTGGCGCACGCCTTTAATCCCAGCACTCGGGAGGCAGAGGCAGGCGGATCTCTGTGAGTTCGAGGCCAGCCTGGTCTACAGCGCGAGATCCAGGAAAGGCGCAAAGCTACACAGAGAAACCCTGTCTCGAAAAACCAAAAAAAAAAAAAAAAAAAAAAAAAAAAAAAATCAACCAAATCAAGTGGGCGAGGGAGAACCGTTTGTTTCCAGGGAGTTTCTGGTAATGTCTGGAGACATTTTCAGCAGTCAAGGCCAGTGGGGGAGGGAGGGACAGTGAGGCACAACCGGGTCCAGTGGGCAGAGAGAGAAGATGCTGTTAAACAGCTAACAGAACCATGATACAGGCCACCAAGTCACCAGTTAAAAATGGACCAAAGACTCGAACATTATACAGACAGCCAGTATCACATGAAACGGTGCTCATCCTCACCAGTCATTAAAGAAATGCAAATCAAAACCACAAGTACCTATCACTTCCTGTCCATTGATCAGAATGGCTACTGCCAAGATCCTGGGAAGGAACAAGGCTTGACGACGCTGTGGAGAAATAGGCAACCTTGGACACTATTGAGAATAAAAACTGGCCTATGAGTCTGGAGAGGCGGCTCAGTGGTTGAGAGCACTGGCTGCTCTTCTAGAGGACCTGGGTCTGATCCTCAGCACCCACGTGGTAACTCACCACTCTCTGTAACTACAGTTCTAGGAGATCCAGTGCCCTCTTTTGGCCTCCATGGGTGCTACCTGTAAACAAAATACCCCTATACGTAAAATAAAATGAAATAAAAATAATTTAAAAACATACAAACAAATGAACTTACGTAGTCATTTCACATGGAGAACAGTATGGAAGGAAATGGAAGTACTGTAGGAGCCAACAATTCCGTTTCTGGGCGCATAACCCAAAGAATCGAAAACAGGTCTCCAAAGAGAAGCTGGTACCCTTTATTCCTCTTAGAATCCTTCACGATAACCAACTCATGAACACAAATCAAGTTCCTACTGTCAGGTGATCAGATAAGCAAAACATGGGATAGCATAGAACACCATTCAGTCTTCCAAAAGAACAGAGCTGAACCTTGAAGACATTATGCTAAGTGAAAAAAGCCAATCACGATATAATTCCACATATACGAGACATATGGAGTATTCAAAAAACACAGAGATAGAAAGTAAAAGCACAGCCCAGCATGACATGGTGACACACACCTTTAATCCCAGCACCTGGGGAGGCAGAGGCAGGTGGATCTCTGAGTTTGAGGTCAGGCTGGTCTACAGAGTGAGTTCCAGGACAGCCAGGGCTACACAGAGAAACCCTGTCTCAAGTCCCCCACCTCAAAAAAAGAAAGAAAGAGAGTAGAAGGACATAGTTGGGCATGTAGGTCAATGGTAGAGCGGCACCTGTAGGCTCTGAGTTCAGTCCCCAGCACCTTTAACCTCTGAGCCAGATTCTGGTTTGCTGGACATACATACCGTGTCCACTGTGGAGGGTTGAGGGGTTTTAGTATTGCATGTGCATGTTTCTGGGCATGGTTTGAGGCACACAGCTCTCAGTCTGTGTTGTGAACCTTCTGTCCTGGTCATCAAGTGTCCCCAGAACCAATGATGATGTAGTGTTGAGGCTTCTGCAAGATAGGAGGTCTGGACCCCTTCTCACGTCCTTCCTCAGGACCACCAGCACTCAGTGTTCTGTCCTTCTCCCAGGTCGTGATGAAGGCCAAGGCCCCGGATGGACTGCCGAGGGAACCAGGCAAGGCTGGCATCGGAGAGCCCGAGAGAGTCCTGAGCAGGTGCTGAAGCCGGGCAGGACCCAGCTAAGCCAGGACCTGGGAGGGGCCTCCCTGGCCATTGACACACTCCCAGACAACAGGACCAGGGTGGTGGTAAGTGCTCAACCAACGTGGCGGGAGAGCAGAGCTGGGGCCTGCCTAAAGTGTCTGACACGGAGACTGGAATGGATGGGGATCCCAGGGAAGAAGAGACAGGCTGACTCCAAGCTGGGTCATAGGATCAGAGCATCTCAGAATTGCAGGCGACTGGCCTCCGCCAGGACCCCCGAGAGATGATGTAACCTGCGCCAGGATGCACCGCGCAGGCACTGAGCTCTGCCATGACTTAGAGGAGAAAGCTGAAGGTGGCATAGCTACAGCTCAGCTGCCAGTTTAAGCTCCACTCTGCCGCACCTCTGCCTCATCTTTAGACCGTGGGACCCTAAAGGTTACGGACAGGGCCACAGCAAGAGGCGTCCTGAGGTGGTTGGAGTGGAGGAGGAAGCAGTCCAGGTGTCATTGAGGCAGAAGTTTCTGGGCCTGGGGGCGGGGAGCACTCTGTGGGAGGAGATAAGTCTGAAATCGGAAGGGGCCTCTGCATCCATATGTGAGTGTGAGCTGGAGGCGGTTTGCACCTGTGGCTGAGGAATTTTGCATGTTGTGTCCACGTGCCGGTAGTTTGCCTCTGCAGGTGGCTTGTGTCTGGGATGAGGGTGAGTGTGCGGTGGGAAGGGAAGGGTGGGGGCTCAGGGTGCAGAAAAACTACAGAATGAGACGCAGCAATAAGAGGGTGTGCTTCACAGCATCTTTATTTTCTGTCTTGAAGAACTTCCAGAAACTTCCAAACATCAGCAGTGCTAGAGGTAGTGGGATGTAGCTGTGTGAGCCTGTGGGCCCAGCTGAGTGGAAAGCTGAGGCAGGAGAATGACCAGAGCCCCAGAGTTTAGGGCCAGCCTGGGCAATGCAGGCCAAAAATCGTTCTAGAAGCATAGAAGAATAAACACAGAAGACCCAGGCTGCCTCCTACAGTCCACAGCCTTTTCCACAGCAGGATCTCTAGGCTATTATTTTCCAACTAGTCTGCTTCTTTGGCTCCCTTAACGAGTGAGCTTTGGTTGGTTGGTTGGTTTTGAGACAGGGTTTCACTATTGTAGCTTTGGCTGGCCTTGAACTCACTCTGTAGACCAGGCTGGCCTGGAACTCACAGAGATCCACCTGCCTCCACCTCCAGTTTTGGGATTAAAGGCGCATGCCACCACTGCCTGGCTCGGGAACACTTTCTTACATGGCGGCCTTTAGTTTCAAATGTAATCATCAGTGTGGTCAAACTTGTCATCAAGGGAGCTGGGGCCGGGGTTCCGTGGGTAGAGTGCTCACTTAGCATTCATTAAGCCCTGGGTTTGATCCCCAAAACTACATAAACTGGATGTGGTGGTGCCTGCTTGTAATATCAGCACTCTAGAGATGGAAGTAGGAGGATCAGAAGTTCAAGGTCACCCTTGACCACATAGTAAGTCCTGGACCAGCCTGGGCTCCATAAGACCCTCTCTTTAAAGTAAACAAACAAAATAAACACATAGAAATAAAAATTTGCCCCAACTTGGCAGACTGCTCACCCGATCCATGGTTGCCAGCCTACACTTCCTCCTCCTTTGTCTCTTGATCATTGGAGGATCTCTGTGAGTTTGAGGCCAGCCTGGTCTACAGAGCAAGTTCCAGGACAGTCACAGCTACACAGAGAAACCCTGTTGAAAAACAAAACAAAACAAACAAACAAAATTAACATTTCTGCCAAACACTGGTGATATTTCCTCTCTCTCTCTCTCTCTCTCTCTCTCTCTCTCTCTCTCTCTCTTTGGCTTTTTAAATTTTATTTCATTTTATTTTTATTTTTTTTGAGACAGGGTTTCCCTGTGTAGTTTTGGTGCTTGTCCTGGATCTCATTTTGTAGACCAGGCTGGCCTCGAACTCACAGAGCTCAGCCTGCCTCTGCTGGGAGAGTGCTGGGATTAAAGGTGTGTGCCACCACCGCCCGCTTACTGGTGATATTTTCATGAATGAAATCTCAAAATGTTAAATAATGACAGAGTCAGCCATGGTGCCAACTATTTCAGAGACTGAGTAAAAGGAAAACAGAGTCTAGAAATGACACAGGATGCAAAAAACAAAACACCTCAAAGCTTATGAAATACCCTTAGAGAGAAAAGATGATTCATCCACGACACAGGAACAAGAAAGGGGAATATATATATATAAAATAAAAAGGTCTTAGAAATTTAAAATGTGGCCAGGTGTGTGTAACAGGGCCCAAGACCTTAATACAACTGACTCCATGATGGAAGTACCATTCAGGTCATAAAACTCAACACATAGACAGCACCATCTGCCAAAATGAAAACAAAGACCTAATCCATCAAAGTCCACAGTTCCGGGAAAGCCTCTAAATGGACTAACCTTGCTTTTTGACTTCTGTAGTTCTGCTTCTGGCTAACAGTTCTTGTTAACTGAAGTGTGCCAATCCAGAGCATGGTTTTTGCTCTTAAAAGGTCACCCTGAGAAAGGCTTGTTGCTATACTGGGATCCCAAACATCTAGTATAGTCACTGGCTGGCTGATAAAGACTTTCTATATCGGCTTAAACCTGTTCTGGTCAGTCTTTTCTGGTGGGTACCCCACAACAGTGTGATGGCTCCGGTTGGAGGCTAGCCTGTCCCTACTTGTTAAATCCCAGGCCAGCCTGGACAGTCAACCATGATTTCAGAATGCTGGAGTGACAGTGAAGACTCCTAAGTATATGACCAGGTCAGGAATAAGAGTGGCACTCAGCCTCAGTTTTCTTTTCTGTACAGGGCTTGCTGTGTAGGCTGAACTGGCCTCAGACTCTCAGTAATCCCGCCTCAGCCTCCAAAGTACTGGGGTTACAGGCGTGAGCCACCATGCCCTAGGTTACGTCGAGTATCTTTTGGGTGGGAAGCAGGGGGTGGATGTATGTGCTGAAATGGGGGTCTCGTTAGGTACCCCAAGCTGGTCTTGAATTCTTTGCTATCTTCCTGCCTCAGCCTCCCAAATGCTGGGATTATAGGTGTGAGCTACCATGCTCTGTGGTTATAGTCGATCCTTTCAAGGTGACATTAGAAGAAAATGGTGAGATGTTTTCAAGCTTTGAAGGGAAATATTTTTTGTTTTTGTTTTTTGGGGTTTTTTGTTTGTTTGTTTGTTTTGCTTGTTTGTTTTTTTTTCAAGACAGGGTTTCTCTGTGTAGCTTTGGAGCCTGTCCTGGATCTTGCTCTGTAGACCAGACTGGCCTCGAACTCACAGAGATCCGCCTGTCTCTGCCTTCCGAGTGCTGGGATTAAAGGCATGCCCGGCCTGGGAAAATTTTTCTAGGTTTTTCAAGAGAGAGTTTCTCTGTGTTACAGCTAAGGCTGTCCTGGAACTCACTCTGTAGACCAGGCTAACCTCAAACTCACAGAGATCCACCTGCTTCTGCCTCCCAAGTGCTGGGATTAAAGGCGTGTGCCACCACCGCCTGGCTGTGATGTTGATTTTTAAAATGCCATATTAAGATGTTCTTCTCAACTCTCGAGCTTTATGGTTCCTTTATCACTGTGCCACAGGCAAATGGTTCCCTCAACAGGCCCTCATCCCAGCCCCATGCTAAACTCTCAAAAGACAGCCCACTCACTTAACCATTCTGTCTTGCTTTCTGGAACATTCAGAACTGACGTGTAGGGTAGGTGTGGAAGAACAGTAGAGTGGACAGCCAGACCATGAGGTGTCTCTAAGGAAGAGACTCCTGTCGGCTCACCCCATTCCTCACTGCCTTCTCGAACTCAGATTAAATAACTGATACTTACTCAGGGGCTGGACACGAAGGTCAGGAGGGCCATGTCCCAGTCTGCACAAAGAGGACATCACAGGAAGTAGCCTCAGAGACAAAGACTTCTGGAAGTAATTGTCTGTGGGTGTTTAGAAAGAGCAGTGGCATTCAGTGGGCCTGGTGGATTCAATAACACCAAGGCTTAAAAACAAACACACATTCTTGGGCTCCACTCTGGACAGATTAGTTAGTTCAGTAGCAATGAAGTCTGGGATTTATTTCTTTACAGGGTCCCCACTGTAAAGATGGATCAGTGCTTAAGAGCACCGGCTGCTCTTCTAGAGGGCCAGGGTACTATTCCCAGCATCCACATGGCAGCCCACCACTGTCTGTAACTCCAGTTTCAGGGGATCTGACACTCTTCTGGCCTCCTTGGGCACCAGGCACACATGTGGTACACAGACATATGTGTGGACCAAATACCTGTATGCATAAAATAATTTCAAAAATAAAAATGCACTTAGGGCAAGGGTGTAGTCGGTGGAGGAGCATTTGCCTAACATGTGTGTGAGGCCCTGGGTTCCATCTTTGCTCCTGTGAAAAAGGAAATGAATAACAAAACTCTGTGTGTGGTTCTGCTGGGCATCTGGGTGTAAGAGCTTCTGCGATCTAAGATGTCCAGGTGATTTTGAGGTTTCTAAAAGAGATTCATTTTAATTTATTTTGTATTTATGTGTATGTGAGTATGTCTGTGAGAGTCTATGGCTCGAGTGTGTAGGTGCCCTTAGAGGCCAGAAGGAGGTGTCAGATCCCCTGGAGCTGGAATTACAGGCAGTTATGGGTCAATAAATGTGGGTGCTGGGAGTCCTCTGGAAGAATCTTATGTGCGCATTTCACCTTAGAGCCATGTCTCCGGTCCCTTGATAATGGTAGCCAGAGGTGACCCAGTTCTTCAGAAGGCTGAGATAGGAAAATCACAAATTCAAGGCCCATTACAGAGTGACTTCGAGGCTAGCCTGGGCAACTTAGTGAAAACCTGTCTCAAAAATAAAATGAATAGGACAGGTATGGTGGTACATGCCTTTGATCCCAGCACTCAGGAGGCTGAGGCAGAAGGATTACAACCAGTGCAAAGCCCGTCTGGACTACATAGTTCATTCTAGAACTAAAGAGTGAGATCTTGTCTCAAACTTCCTGAAAGAAATAAGTAAATAATAGTGACCAGGGTGACAGCCAGAACACCAGGCTTTCTAAAGCACCATGTGGCAATACCTGAGCACCTGACTCCTGCCATCTGGAGCTTCATGACCCCCTTGACAACCACTCACTAAGAGGCCACACTGCAGCTGGGCATATGACACACACCTTTAGTGCCAGCACCAGGGAGGCAGAGGCAGGCGGATCTCTAAGTTTGGGGCCAGCCTGGTCTACAGAGTAAGTTCCAGGACAGCCAGGGCTACACAAAGAAACTATGTCTCAAAAAACAAATTAATTTTTTAAAAAGACCACACGGTAGAACAAGGCCATCTGAGAAAAGACTCCTCTATGGGGTTGTCCCCAGCTCTGTCTAAGAAACGGGAGGTGAAGGCTTAGGATAAAATCTATCAGGAAGAGCTCAGATGCCATATCAGGAAAGAGTCATCTCATCCTTAGTGGGCTGGAGTGACCAGGTGCAGCTGCCTGGACAAATGTAAATCCTGGGGCTCAAGGCTACAGTGACTCAGCTGTGAGCCCCGAGGAAATGGTTTCTCACCACTGTGGGACTGCTGTGGGCTGGGCTGAGTCAGAGGCACCCGGAGCTTTTGCCAAGGACGGAGGCGGAAATGCAGCTGTGCTAAAGGAAACCCATGAGAGCCGGGGACCAGAGCCAGGGCTCGGGGCATCTTGCAGACTGTCTTCTGGCTTGGGTCCCTTTCAGGTGGCCCTCTAGAACCCAGAGGAGCCCAGGAGACCATAGACAGGACAGTAAAGAGACCTCCTGATCCCTGGAGACATGGAGGGAGACCCTTAGGGTGCTTCCGGGTGCAGAGAAAGCTCGAGATGGGGCAGTTTCCTGACAGCTGTGAAGCTGTAATGGACCAGAAGGAACGGTCTTATTTTTGCCTCAGGTTGCTTGGCGCCCGCACTGAAGTGCCTGTCTGTGTTTGTATTGCTCGCCTCCCTCTGGCACCTTAGAGCCAGGCTGTCTTGTCGCTTGTGATCAGTGCCTGTCCATGGTAGGTACTCCTCCTCTGAGGGAGCAAAGGAAGGCAGGGCTCCCCATCCCTAGAGGGCTCCATGGTGTTAGAGAGAAGAATCGATCCCAGGGTGGACTTCGATGGCGCCCTGCGGTTCACGAGCGGCTGCCTCGGGGGTACCGGTCGGACCAGAGGTTCGCCTCGGGTCACATTCCGGCTAAGGACGAACACTGGACCGCAGCAATAGTAGGACAGCACACGCCATCAAAATAGGGTGGGCTCGGGGAGACCCACTTTCTGAAGGCTCAAGCTAGGTCAGCTTGTTAGCAAAAGGGTATACATTTTGTGAGGAAAGGGGGTGCCAGGGTCTGTAGGGAATCTGTGTCCATTTCACACTCAGCTCTGCTCTAAACAGTGCTCAACCTGGGCTGCTGATTGCCCACCTGTGAGGCAAGGTTTCTCACTAAACCTGAAGCTTCTCGTTGGGCTAGGCTAGCAAGACCCAGCTATCTCTGCTCTTCAGCACTGATTACCAGCGTGCATGGCCATGCCATGCTTTGACGTGGCTGCTGGGGACTCGAACTCAGGTCCTCTTGCTTTCATAGCAAGCGCTCTTACCCACAGGACATCTCCCCAGACCCATGTCTGCTTGCTTAGTCAGAGTCTCGTCCTGTAGCCAAGGCTGGAACTTACTATGTAGCCTATAGCCAAACTTGTGTTGTCCTCCTGCATCAGACTCTTGAGTGCGGGATTACAGGTATCTTTTTTTTCTCCCCCAGACAGGATTTCTCTGTGTAGCTTTGGAGCCTCTCCTGGATCTCGCTCTGTATACCAGGCTGGCCTCGAACTCACAGAGATCTGCCTGCCTCTGACTCCTGAGTGCTGGGATAAAAGGCGTGTGCCACCACCACCCAGCAACAGGTATCTTGACTCCCAACTCACATTGCAGTTTTGATTTGAATTTCCCCAACAACTAATGACACTCATCGTTTTTCTGTGTTTTTATTGGCTATTTGTGTATCTTCCTTGGAGGAGAGTCTACTGATGACTTTTCTCTGTTTTTAAATCAGGCCGTCTGGTTTTGTCTTGGGAAAATCCTTGAGCCCTCAAGCCCATGTTTTCATTGTGCTGTGGATGCTGTTGGCTCAGTGTGGCTGCAAAGAGGATCCACAGTCAGGTCCAGGAAGGCTGTCCCTGACAGGGCTGAAGAGGATGTGCACTGGCTGGTAAGTGGGTTATGGTCCACAGTGGCCAGCTATCCTGGTTCTCCCGAGATGGTCTTTTTAAAAAGAGACTTGCCAGGTGGTGACTGCGCACGATTTTAATCCCAGCACTTGGGAGGCAGAGGCAGGAGGATCTCTGTGAGTTCTAGGACAGCCTGGTCTACAGAGTGAGCTCCAGGACAGCCAGAGCTACACAGAGAAACCCTGTCTCAAAAAACAAACACCCCTCCCCACACGCACACACACACAAAAACAAAACAAAACAAAAACAAAGAGAGAGGCCATGAGCACACAGGTGTCTGAGGAGGTCAGAGATGTTGCATCCCCTGAAACTAGGTTTATAGACAATCATGAACAACTGACTAGGGTGCTAGGAACTGAACTCAGGTCCTCTGGAAGAAGTTAACCCCTGAGTCATTTCTTCAGCTCCCCAGATGCTATCAACACAGACTTTCCAGTATCCTGGGATGCTTCTGAGCTCCAGACACACAGGAGAGTTGGTCGCTGTATTCTAGTCCTAGGGGAGGTAGTGTGTGTCTTCTATTGTCTGTGACTCCAATAGATTCCCCAGTAGCACTTAGAAGAGGGGCCTTGGGAGGATAGTGAGGTCATAAAGGTGGAGCCCTCGGACATCGGATTGATGACCTTATAAAAGAGATGTGAGCCGGGCGGTGGTGGCGCACGCCTTTAATCCCAGCACTCGGGAGGCAGAGCCAGGCGGATCTCTGTGAGTTCGAGGCCAGCCTGGACTACCAAGTGAGTTCCAGGAAAGGCGCAAAGCTACACAGAGAAACCCTGTCTCGAAAAACCAAAAAAAAAAAAGAGATTTGAGAGAGCTTGCTTACTCCTTCCACCAAGTGCAAAATCGGACAACAAAATGCTGTCTGTAAATCCCTCATCAGAGACTGAATTCACTTATGCCTCCATCTAGGACTTCCTGACCTCCAGAACAGGAAGCAATACATTTTTCTTGTTTATAAATTACCCAGTCTAAGGTATTTTGTTATAGCAGCCTAAACAGGCTAAGAAAGTATGCTTGCTAAGACATCACTCTAAATCAGTTTTTTCATCCATAAAATGGGATAAATAATGTCTCATAGAGTTATAAAAACCGGACATGCTAAATGGCTGAGAAATTAGGCAAAAAGATCGTTCCCAGGTTTTACCTGAAACTACCAAAATAGGATCCCAGAGATAAGAGAGAACGAACGCCCTGCCTGGAAGCCTCAGACACTGCCCTTTGTGTGCTCATGTGCAATGGGACAGAATCCAGCCCTATGAAAGTAGACTCAAATTCCCAGAGTTGGTAGTCACCCTCAAGCCTGAGAAGCATGGTGTCCTACCGACAGCCTTCAAGCAAGGGCATCTGGGCCTGTGGGAAATGCGGCAGTGAGTTCACCATAGGGGTATTCAGGAGAGTACAAAGCACAGATGCTAGCAAATGCCAGAAAAAAGGAAAAAGTTAAAATGGTAGGGTGCCGGGCATGGTGCTTACCTTTAATTCCAGCAGTCAGGACCAGAGACAGGTGGATCTCTGTGAGTTCAAGGCCAGCCTGGTCTACAGAGCAAGATCCAGGACAACCAGGACTGTTACACAGAGAAACCCTGTCTCGAAGAACTGAAAAAGAAAAGAAAAGAAAAGAAAAAAGAAAGGAAGGAAGAAAGAAAGAAAAAATGGTGCGGTGTGGTGGTTCACACTTGGAATTGCAATCCTTGGGAGGCTGAGGCAGGAGGATTACTGGGAGCTGAAGGCCAGCATGGGCACATACAGAGCGACGCTGTCTTAAAAACAAAGAGTGGGTTTTCTTCTGTATGGACCGTCATGAAGCTTTAACAAATGATGGCTAGGAAGACCACATTCACCATCAAAACCTGCTTTGTTTAATTTGTCATTTCTCAGGGGCTGTCCACCTTGGTTTGTTTGTTTGTTTTGTGAGACAGGCGCTCATTGCATCAAGCTAGGCTATATCACAAGCCTGACTAGTTTGTTGGTACTGGAGTTGAGACCTCAAAATTTAATTAATTAGTTAAGTAATTAATTAAAAACAGAGAGGTTAATTTACCTCACAATTCTGGAAGGCCAAGATTTGGGGCTGCATCTGGCATAGGTCCCATAACATGACAGGGAAGCAGTCAATCTCAACTGAGAAAGTGCCTGGGTACCACTGGCCTGTAGGTGAGTCTGTGGGTTATTGTCTTGACTAATGACTGGTGTGGGGGGGCCTGACTCATTGTGGGCGGGGCCAACCTGCAAGTAAGGTTGCTTTGGCCATGGCTCTTACACAGCAATAGAAACCCCAGCTAAGACAGGTGCCCTCTACCCGACCGGTGACCTGAGTTCCATCCCCAGGACCCACGGGGTGGGGGGGGGGGAGGGAGAAGAGAACTGACTCCTGCAAGCTGTTCCCTGGCCACTTCCTACTCGCCATGGCACAGTCACTAAACACTAACGAGATAAGTGGGGTTTTGATTTGGTTTGGTTTTTGGTTTTTTTGAGACAGACTTTCTCTGTGTAGCTCTGGCTGTCCTGGGACTCACTCTGTAGACCAGGCTGGCCTCGAACTCAGAGATCTGCCTGCTCTGCCTCCTGAGTCTCCCAGGTGCTGGGATTAAAGGTGTGTGCCACCACGCCAGGCCTTTTTTTTTTTTTTTTTTTTTTTTAGCTCAGAAGGAGCTGTATGCAGAAGAGAGAAAACACAGGGTGGTTTCACTTTCTAAGAGCTTGCTCTTGTGGTACCCACACTAGACAGTCAAGAACTGCGTGAATCCCTCCAACCGACCACACCGCTCTCAAAGGTCCTATCAGTGGTAGACTTTGGACCAGAGTTCAACATGAGTTTCTGAGGGGACAAAACTGAGGTGAGAGGAAAATAAGGCAATGTTAAACGAACCTTTTCTGGATGTTAGCCTGGTCCATATCTACCTCGTGAGCAAGCATTTCTTTCTTTTTATTTGAACATTTGAGGTGTGTGTGTGTGTGCCATCACAAATGTGTGAGGGTCACAAATGTGCTTTTGGGAATTGGTTTTCTCCTTCCACTATGTGGGCTCCGGGGATAGAACGCCCATCTCAGGCTCAGTGGCAAGTGCCTTTACTCACTGAGCCGTCCTACCCTCTGAGCCGCCTTACCAGCTCAAGACAGGTGTTTCAGATGTTCTGTTTTCTCTTGATCCAGAGTGGACAGCTGAAGTCGCCTGCCCAAGGTCACGCATCTAATAAGTGGCCGAGCCCAGACAAGAATGCCAGTTCTGCTTCACAATCTAGTTCATAGCTACTGTCTCCTTAAGGATGATGTATGGGTAAAAACCTTTTAATTTTCTTAAAATCTGCGTTTTTAATTTTTAAATTTTTCTCTGCAAAAGCACCACTGAGAATCTTATGCAGATGTAGGCTCTGATTCTGCAGGTTTGGGGTTGACCAAGGATGCTACACTCTCTTGCCCTCCCCTCCCACCCTTTCCTCCCTCCCTACCTCTCTCCCCCCTTAGCTCTGACTGGCCTGGAACTCACTCTGTAGCTTAGGCTGGACTTCAGCTGGTAGCAATCCTCCTGCCTCAGTTTTCCAAGTACTAAGATTACGCAATGAGTCCCCACATCTGGCTTGCTTTTATTTATTTATTTTTTTTAAAATGGGGTCTCATTGTGTAGCCCTGACTGGAATGGAACTCACTTTGTAGCCGAGGCTTCCTTGAATTCACCGAGATCCACCTGCCTCCGCCTCCTGAGTGCCGGGATTGAAGGCGTGCGCCACTGCACCCGGCCCAGGACTCTGCATTTCTGACGGGCTCCTAAGTGACTCTACTGTCAGTCTCCCTAGAACATATTGAATAGCTGGGATCTAGAACACATTCCGGGTGGTTTTATAAACCCTTGTGGACTGGGGTGACTGGGAACCCCCTTCTCAGAGCACTTTTCCAGTTGACTCCAGCTGCCTGAGTGCTAGCCTGGCAAGCCTGGCTAGTCAAGCTCTCCTGCCAGCCCTGCGGGTGCCCTTGGTCGCTTGCCCAGCATCCCTACCAGCCAATTGGCTGGCAGGTGATGGGATGATTGTGACAGCTTAGCTGGAGTTCCTTTCCAGAAACATCTTGAGCTCAGCCAAAGTAAATAGAGTGCCACTGTCAGAGTGAAGAGCCGGGAGGGTCTCGGGGCAGCGGCAGTGTGAGCAATTGAAGGAGAAGAGCCCTTGCTATGCAGATACTAGGCTGGACAGTGTGTGTGTGTGTGTGTGTGTGTGTGTGTGTGTGTGTGTGTGTGTAGACAGCCTGTGCTGTCAAGACATTTCATGGAAAGGCCCAACAAAATCATCTAAGAACTCGCACTTATGGGATACCTGCTGTGGGCACTGGGCCAAGAGCTTTCCTTCATCCTGTTACATGGAATCCTTTTAGGACTGCAGGATTGAGGAAGGGACTATAAACAGAGAGAAGAATGATGATCGTCATGTCTGGGTTTCAAACTTGAAAGCTCACACACTTGATCCTGGAGCAGTGGTTTTTCAAATGATGCCCCGTGGAACCCCAAGAGTTCCTGGAGATGCCCCACGGGCTGCTATGGGATAGAGGGGGTTGGAGAAGGCACCAGAAGGCACAGAGTGGCTTCACTGTGATGTGATAGAGGTCCTGAGCTGCCAAGGAAGGAAGAAAAAAGTCTGAAGTCACCCCATTGCCTGTGAAACAGGAAGATCATGGACCAGGGTTTTGCGACATGTCCCGGATACTACCTCCGTCATAGACTTATTGACCCTCTTTGAAGTGTCAAACCGGCACCGCCCCACCCTCTGGGGAAGCAAACAGCAGGTTGTATGTAGTGATGATGGACTGTGGATGGTGTGAGTTCCTTGGCCTGTGCATCGTGAATAAGGCACACACAATGTTGTACATTGTATAGTGTTAGCTGGCCAGGGAGACCGACTATGGCTTGCTTCCCCACCCCACCCCCCCATTTTCCTTCTGACTTGCAATGTAGCTAAGGCTGACCTTCCTGCCTTGACCTCCCAAGCACTGG